TGTGTGTGTGTGTGTGTGTGTGTGTGTGTGTGTGTGTGTGTGTGTGTGTGTGTGTGTGTCTTGGAAACTTTTGGCATTTCTTGAAAACATAAAGACCAGTTGGCACTTTAAAGTGTTTATAAAGTCAATCATGTTGGCTTGAATTACCCACCAATCTCTGTCAGTTAGGCCCCCTTTTCAGCCGCCACRCCATGGGATGTGTGTGGGAGGGAGTGTGCATGCATACACGCGTGATCTTCTGTGTACATTTGTGTGCCAACTGTAAACGAGTGGGAGACGGGAAAAGTGAAAATTTGAAACTTAAATTAAAAAGACGAGAAAAAAATGGCAAAAGAGAACTATTTTTATGTCAAACTGCTTTAATTTCGAATGAACTTGTTTTGCGTATCTTTTAAAACAAAACGTTAGGCCGAATTACGAAGCCCTGCAGGTCGGAACGACTCCGACACCTCTCTGAGAATCGCAGCTAATCGAAAACGTTTGCAGGAATTACTGTCACTCGCCTGATCTGTATGCATGGCAACCTTTTTTCATCTCAAAGAATACCAGACCCACAAGGTCTTTACATTATGTGCAAACATTTGCAATTATGATGAACTGCTGCGGCTTATCTCCGAAGGAACAGGTTCTTACTGATGGACAAGAAGACATTTTAATGAAATAAACTGCTCTGAGCTGATGAAATAAAGATAGCTCCACCTGGGGGCACACTCAAATTAAATTATCAAGATGACTGTGTGCATGCAGCTTCCATTAACACAGGTACGCCTAATCATGGTGCACTTGTTACGTATAGAATTTACACATCCGCTGGAAAGCTTTTTCTGGTTTTTCGTCCTCTCCACGAGAGCTGCAGGCCCACTGATTCTCTTCTACTTCATTCAGAGGGGATGAACTAATGTTAAAACCATGTGGTGTCTCGGGAGGCCGAGCGAGTGGACACTGCCGTGCATGCAGTTTTATGCGTGCAGATAAACACCAGCCTGATGGCCTGTCAGACGCCTCTGGAAGGAGCTCAGAGTCCTCGGCCTTAAAACAATGTTGGTGTTGGAGCGAGAGACTGTGACTGGCGATGGGAAACACCTGTGCAGGGGTGAGTTGCCGGGCAGCGCGGGGCGAAGGAGGGAGAGGGCGGGCATGGGGGGGGTGCACAGGCCAGGAGAGGAAGGGAAGGCAAGAGGGAGATATAAAGCCGGTTCGAAAGGCCACTACATCCTCAACGTTTGCTGCTGTGCTGAGAAGAGGAGGTCTGAGGGAATTAGTTACTGTAATGTCGCAGTTGTTGCCACTTAAATTTTAACACACGTGTGCCGGCAGGAAAGCTTTAATGTGAGGCTGGAAGGGTAGCATGAGAACAGCCCTTAAAAAAACACAACACTGGGTAAAACCAAGAAAAGCACCACAAATTGTATAATAGTTTTAAAACCATTTTAAAAAGCAATGCAGCAATTAATTAATGGTTTTCACGAGTCTACAATAACATATATATTTTTAAAACTTCCACTCTTTTAATTACACTTAGGTATTAGAGAGATCAGAAAATGACTGACCTAATTACAGTAACGTGTTCAAGGAAATCTGATCTCTTCTTACGTTCTAATAGTCTATTTATTATTTTTTGCATTGTCTTTTTTTGTACTAAAATTTTGTTTTAGATTATTTTTTAATTGTTTGTTTCTGTGTTTCATGCATTAAGGCCACCGCAACTTACATTATGTCAAGAAACTGGATTAAAATGTGATTAAAATCAGTTTCTTACTCTTACTGGCAAAATTTTTGAAGCTAGCGCCTCTAATCTGGCCAATTTGTGAATATTAGATATTTCCCATGGACATTCGTGCCAAGTGTAAAACTGTTGCATTCAGCACTTTCCGGTACAAATTTAGACGAGTTTCAAGTTTCATCTGCCTCATTTCTAACACCTTGTATTTCCAAAAAGCTGGAGGGAATAAAAACAGGGCCGGACCATCACATAGGCAGTATAGGTAAATGCTAAAAGCTCCACAAATGGAGGATGAAAAAAAATGTATTGTAACTTTTTGTTTGATCAGATTACAGTTGGTAGAATAGTCCCTGCTTCTCAGGTTTATAAGGATAAGTTGTTCTGTGGGTTCCTCAGCRTGCTTGTTTTGTGTATATTAACTGTTTAATTGGACAACTTGGTTTCTAAGTATAAAACATAATATCAAAGGCACAATCTGGCAGTGARGTTTAGAAAACTGCACGAGAAGCACCACCTGAAATCTTGCTTAGGACGCCAAACTGAAAGGGATCCATGATTAGTTGTAACATTAGACTTTATTTGATAAACATTTATTTTAACTGTAAAATAAAGTCTGTAAAAATACTGTAGGATGTTTAGTTTTGTAAACTTTTTAAAATATATTTTAACACGGACGGAGCCATTTTATTTACACACAAAGCATTYTGGGTAAATGATGACGTGGATAGGTCCTCATTGTGAGCGAGCTRTATCCACCCTGAAGGTTAATCTTGGACAATRTCTGAYGATCGACTCTTTTAAATGAAACCAGAGAGCGTTGACAGAGAGGAGAAGGTAGAAATGACTCAGTCTGTAACTGAAAATATGGATGGAGGACAACAGAGCTGCTTCATGGAAGAAGAACCTCAGCTTAGCCTGTTAGGGTTCGCGCTAGCAACCTTATATTTATTAGCTTGGCACTACTGCGACAAACAAGCTAAACTGAGGTCCTCCATCCATATTTTCAGTTACAGGCTGAGTCATTTCTACCTTCTCCTCTCTGTCAACGCTCTCTGGTTTCATTTAAAAGAGCCAATCATCAGATATTGTGCTTTGCGTGTAAAGAAAATGGCACCGCCCGTGTAATATATTTTTTAACTTTTAGTTTAAAAATGATAACAACTAAACAGCCTACAGTATTTTTACAGTCTTTAATTTACAGTTCAAATATATGTTTAATGTTACAACTAATCATGGATCCCTTAAACATCTCGTTTTATGTTCATACATTCAGCTGTTTAGGTTTCGTTGTAAAACTGAGAATWATTTCTATAATTATTCTTATCCTAATGTCCTAAAAGGCTTTTAGCATATATAAGATTGCYTATTTCTTAATTTAATTAGTAGTAATGGCTTCTGAATTGTGACATATTGTGTGCATCATACAAATTCTTTAAAAAAAACACAATAACACAGCAATATTTATTTTTACCCTAGCATCTTACCCTGCTGTATATCCATCAGCCTCTCCTTCTCCCCGGTGTTGTGTTGATCCTTCCATCTCCTGCTCCTTTATCCTGAGGTGCCTCCTGCCAGTTTATCAGACGCTTCCTTTTAATTTTCTACTTTCCACTGTGTAAGCATCCATCTCGGCTGTCGGCGGCAGCGTTGGAGGGTTCAGAGCATCATGATGTGTGAAACAGGCCAGTGCCTACAACTGACAAGGAGAAGGAAACTGGAACGGATTAATAATCTCTAGAAAAAAAGGCAGCATGTTACTCTCTCATTGAAAATAAAAATATATAGAGACKCCTTACATTTATAATAAAACACTGAAAAAAGTATTTTTTTTATTTAGACAGGAAATGATTTTCTTTACAAAGTTCAGCTGTACCTKATGACATAATGAAAGCTTGCTCTGATCTACCAAATTAGAAAAAAAGGTGTAAAAGAATATGATCTTCACTGCTTTTGCAATCTGCATTTCTCTATCTGCAGTAGAAGCTGGCAGTCATGTAGTCTTGTATTATTACATCCTAATACTGATAAATGAAAACTCATCTGTATTTCCAACACTCAAGAGTAAAACCAATAGATTACATATGTGTTCAACTCTATTATCTTCATTGCTCTTCCTCTCATTTCATGTTTTCAAGATTTAAAAAGAGTTTTTTTTTGTGTGCTGGATGTGACACATAAAACATAATAAATTTAATCTTAATTTCAGAATCCAAAACCTTGTCTCCATCTCCTCATCATCTCTTCCATTCTTTTTTTGTCGTACCCCTCCCGTCTCTGCATCTAACAAAATTAATTACTGTATGTTTTATTTTATGAAGGTGTCAGGATGAAATGATGAATGGCTTGTAATATCAACAGATTAAAGACACAATGCGATGAAGGATGCGTCTGCTTACACTGTGATAGTGCCTACATGCACACATACACACATGCACACAGTCTCTAGGGCCATCAATATCTGGTTTCATATTTGATATTAACTACATGGGGGAGCGATTATGGCCACAATGTCATTACCAGTGGTAGAGGGGCATAATGGAAGTGAACTTTTCAAAAGGGTCCTTATAATTGCTGCCAGGATTCTTCTTGATAAAATCCAATATTGATATGTACACTGGTCCCTTTGTTATGGCCACGGATGAAAAAGAGCATTTCAGTATTCTATAATGAGCACTGTACCACTGAAGGTCAGCTTAATGGGGTTCAACTTGCTTTTGTGAGCCAGAGGTAATATTCTAATGAGAAAGAAGCTCCACACCATTTTACTAATTCTAGTTGCACCCGTGAAAGCCACTGGACYGCCGCCTGTGCAATATTATGGAAGTCCTCTGTTGTCATTTGCAACATTGCTTGTCATCCAAAGTTTGGTTTGGCTGTCCAGCTGATGTGCACTTGCACGCATGCAGATGCACCCAATCTCATTATCCTATTTCAAATCCRCTAGTGTTGATTGGATTCTACAGTTTATTCATTGCTTACTTATGGATGGAGGGAYGGCCAAACCACCTCGCAAAGAGAATGAACATTAAATCTTGGCGTGCAGAAGCACACGAGCGAAGACACAGACTTGTGTTGGGCTATGCGTGCTTTGAGTCTGAATTTGCACAAGTACTTGTGGTTAAAAGAAACCTGAGGTTGTTTCTCTATCTCATTCAAAGGCTTTTTCTTATATTGCATGTTGCTGTTAAACCATCAAGTGTTTGACCTTTTAAAAGTGTGTTTTGCCTTTAAAGTACTGCAAATAAAAATGTATGGATCACAAAAGAGCTGTATGGATTTACCAAATACGCAGTCAAAAAGACTCAATAGTTGACAAGAAGAACCGAATCACACAAGGACGTTTCAGACATTTATTCCCAATAATTATCACAATAAGAATAAACAGAATACAATGGCATCTTCACTGAGAATTAGGCATTTCTAAGAATTAATATTTTATTTGGATTTTTAATTTGATATTTAGTGAAATTAGAAACTTGATTTTGTTTGTTGAGAGTGAGCAAGGATCCTGGAATTTAAAGGGGCAATATTATATTTCTTAGGCATACGTTTAAATACTATACCATAATAAAGTATCTGTGTCACCTTTAATTATTAAAATGCTNTTATTAAAATGCTGTTTTTATGTTTAAATAGAAAATAAACTTATCTTCTCATCACTTCCTCTTCTAAACGCCTTGAAATTGGCCTCTGTCTCTTTAAGAACCACCTTCTGCTTCTGTCCCATTCCGTTCAGTGCGGGGGGGCTTCGTGCGTGCGCTGATTCAGTTTACTTGGCATCTGAAAATACATTTCCTCAAAGGTATTTTGAATCTGAAAAGAGCTTCACTTAGTGAGAAAAAGTGTTAAGAGCAGCAGACAGTTAAGTTTCACTTTCACTTTGCTCTGTTACTGCCGAGAGCCTGCAGGAGTCATGGGCGGGGTGAGGGGTGYGGGGAAGTGCGCTTCATGAGGAGGAAGCTCGGCTTAAAGACACGTCCCAGGGGCGTTTCTGGTACCAAAAGGCATTTCTGGTCCCCACCTGTCRTTTTGCTCCTCAGCATGGCTKCCTAAAAACRCTGCAGGATTTCTCAAGCATGCATGAATGAGTCAAAGTAAGACTTTGGGCATGGTTTTTCATGAGAGYATAACATTATAACATGACATGAAACTCAAAAAAGTTGATTTTACATGATATTGCCCCTTTAAAGAGGCAAAGGTATGATTCAGGTGGGGAGTGGGCAGGCAGGTGGGMGCAGATATGTATCCTTCTGTTTAGTGTTTTCTTCCACCGAGGAAATTGCCTGTCTAGCTGTTTTCACACTGAACTTCTCGTGATTGCAAGTAGGTTAACATAGCTCTRTGAATCATAAAAGCAAAGAAAATCAAACAGGTGCACCACTGAGGACACTGGTTACCGTGTTGATGGTTCAKTGAGATGCTGAATGATGGTCTGAGCAGATCTTAAGTAGAGCTGCCACAAACGATTATTTTTATAATCGATTAATCACCGATTATTTTTTCGATTAGTCGACTAATCGGATCATACGTTAATCGAATATAAAACATAGAGCTTATTGTGCCAGAATGCAGCTGCTATTATATAACCATGGTTAGATTTTAGCTATATGCTAACTAAAAATAATTGCTGTGGAAGGCAAGTTCTGCTCTGCAGATATTGCACAGGTTTCTCTTTCATTTTCTTAAAATGATCCCACACTTTTGAGCTCCGTTGCTGGGTAGCCATGATACCAGAGCCTGTCTGTATAATGTCTTGTGACGTCCACGGCCTACCCCAGTTACCACTACTGTGCATGTGTGTCAAGGACAGAAAGGCAGATGTGACAGTGGAAGGTGTCAAAGCAGTTTGGAGAGAAAAACAAAGTAAAGAACAAAAAAAAAAGCGATTAATCGATTATTAAATTAGTCATCGATTATTTTAATAATCGATTAATCGTCGATTAATCGACTAATCGTGGCAGCCCTAAAGTAGCTGCAGTTGATGAGGATATCTGCAGCAGGTGAGACTGCTGGACCTTCAGCACAACCTGCCCACAGCTCTACCTAGAGGGGAAAAGGGAGAAAAGGAACGAGGCATAAATCCAAACATGATTTCACATGAATGTTCAAACATTATCTCAAAATGATAAAAAAAAAAAGAAATGCAACAAATTTCTCATATGTTAGCAAGCTTGATTTAAAGAAAGTGGAGTTTTTTTTCAGTTAAAGCACTTTTATCACAGAATCACCAAAAATATACACATTGGGAACATTTGATCCTTAACACATTTCCTTTGCTTAACCATATCCCTTGAGTCCAGTTTTCTGAAAAGCCAGCCCAAAGCACCAAGCTGACAAATGAACAGAGAAAAGGCACATGGAGACCATCTGCCGCTTTTTTTTTCTAGCAGACGACACTTTATTCCTAAATTTAGATAAGAAACAGAGCAGCATATTCTATTCTAGAATGATGGCAGCTTTAGTCTAATGGCTGACTGGAAAATACTTCAAGACAATTACAGTTTAAAAATCATACGGTTATTCTCACACTGCACAATAACCAACAACTTGAATTCTCAGTATTTAAAGCCTTTTGATAATCAGGTATTTACTTTAAACATTGTCATTTTTCAGATTCTGTCAGTTCTCAGACAGAATGAAAATATAAACATATTTCCCAGGCTTATAAACTATATCAGCCATGAAGTTTTTTTTTCTTTCCTTTTACACTTCGCACCATTTTTTTCTTTTTCTTTTTCTACCTTTTGTCGGCCAAGTCATTTTAAACAGGATCCTCAGATATTTTCACCATGACTTGTATGCACATGGGAGATGAGCTCAAGGTTAAGAGTCACACAGCTCCTTCCTTTTTTGGCCACCAAAATTATTTTCAAAGTCACGAATCATCAACATTCAACTTCCCATTCCAAACAGTTTCAGTTCAAGACAATGAAAACTGGGAAAGAAAAAAAAGGGAAAAAGAATTAAGCTAAATTTACACTGCAAAGCTCAGGGGCAATAAAATCTTCAGGGAATTACAATGAGCAATTTGTCAAATTTCATTCAAAGCAGTGAAGTGTTTAAAATTGTAGATAAATTTCACTCAGCCTCCTGTGCCTTTTGACTGACTGAAACAGTTGAGCGCAGAGAAGTGCTCCATATGATTTAGGCAGCTATGTAAAAATATGAGGGAGTTTCAAAGGTGATAAAAAAGGCAAGGCAGTGAATATCATCTTGTAGATAAGACAGCCACCCCTTTTTTTTCCACAGGCTACATCCTCTTTTATTGTATCTGGCAGCAAATTAAGGCACATGTGGGGGAAAAAAAAGAACGATTGAAAATGAAACCTGCAGCAAAAAAGACTATTCGGCCTGAATCCTTTCTCTTTTCTTGACACTGACATTAGACTTCGATTCTCACATGAGATCCTCTGATGATGACAGTGAACCATAAAAAATAATATAGCTCAATAAAAGTACAAAAAGGCACAAGTTCATAAAAAAGACCTGGGGGCCATGTTAGGTTCGGTCTGTGCCAACACATTTCGTCTCCCTCGGCTGACTTTTAGAGATGATTACCTTAGATATTTATGGGAGAAGCAGTTCTTTGATTTGATGGAGTTAGTGTGTCTGGATGTTTGTG